CTTTCCCCCTGTTCTCTCTCTCTCTCTCTCTCTCTCTCTCTCTCTCTCTCTCTCTCTCTCTCTCTCTCTCCTCGAAACCATAGCTTATGTTTTTAAAGTACATGTGTATAAACGCTCGTCTTGTCTGCTCAACGAGTTTGTCCTGCCCCGCTGCAATCTTATTTTGTTTGGTTCTATTTCTTCCTCCCCAGTGAGCTCGATTTTCCTCCTTTCGTCTGTTTGTCTTTCTCTCATTTATATGTCTCTTACCTTCTTCACTTTCTTCTTTTATTCCTTTTCTCTATAGTTTTTTTTTTGTAAGCGTGCGTGTGCGAATCTTGCTGATCAAAAGACTCCTTAAGATTTCTAAGGTTCCTCTGGTGTGTTGTAAGCGTCGCTGCGTTCCCACCTCTCTCTCTCTCTCTCTCTTCTCCTGTCGTTGAACTGTGTCATAATTTCTTCCTCTTTGATAGTTTATTTATTCTTTTGTCGTGGATTATTGCGGTTTTCCCAGGCGGGTAGAGCAATGCAAAATTCTGTAGCCTTAAAATAAACGTTATGATCGAGTGGAGGTGAGGAATATACGTGAAGCAAGGTGGTAAAATAAGGCGGTTGTTGAAATAATGAAAGCGAAGAGACCGACATTATTTCACCTGTCGGGCTATTTTCATCGATAAAAAAAAAAAATCAACGCCTTTTATGTCAATTTAGAAATATATTTCTAAATGGGTTTTACTTGAAAACAGTGGTCAAAGACACACAAAAATGTAAATTTGCAGTTGTCAAGGGTATTACAGCTTTGGAAATCACCAAACTTTGGTGGCCACCTTCTCTCTAATTTGACTACTGACACTCAGCGACCCCAACCTACTTCAGTAGCAAATGTTTCGACTTCTACAAGGGCTTTTTTTAGGTCATTAAAATTGCGAGGCAAATGAACAGGCTTCACGATTATACCAATAACTGACGAGCACCCAATTGCACAGTGTGTCACTTACCATACCTGTAGTAAAATAATCTGTGAGTTATCATTAAAATTAGATTAAAGTTCAAACTTCACTATGTATGGCGATATAGAATAATCTTAAAGGTAGGGATTAATGTTATGGGTTTTATGAAAAATGTAGTGTAGTTGCTGTTGTTGTAGTTGTCTTGCTGTTGTAATAGTTGTCTTGTTGTTGTTGTTAAAGTTGGTGGTGGTGAAGGTGGTTGAAATATAAGTCAGGCGAATTAGTCATTTCAACAAGATCGAAATTGCGGAATTATGAATAATGTTTTCATTGTTCTCTTTCAGAGATTCGTTGTTGGTTGTTGATAGTAAGTGGTGGTGGTGGTGGTGGTGGTCGTCGTGGTGGTGGTGGTAGAGAAAGGGAAAGTTGTAGTGGGCCGGGTGGTGGTAGTAAGGTAGGCCAATTCATTATAATATTAACTGAAGAAGATAGCGCTGGAGGAATTAGTTATAGTTATTTTATTAGTTGTTG